CCTTGTAATAAGTTTTAGTAACTCCCTAGACAACAGGATACTAATGAGTTAATGACATTTATGTTACCCTTAATGTTCTGGCTAGCCCAATTTACGAGTAATTTTTTTTTTCAATAATACGGAAATAGTTATACATAAACTTTTCCTTGTTTGATAAAGAGCGTTTTCTCTAAATATCAAAGATTGAAATTTCCTACAAAAGTGAATTACCAGGTATGAGATATTGTCCAAATTATTGTAAATGCCATCAGTCCCTATCCCAATTACTTACACATGTGAGATAAATTCTAAGTCAGAGTATTGATTTAGATTCAAATAAAGCACCAGTAGGTCCTTTATTTACAGACGGGATACAATATCTCAATATTCAAATACTCTGTAAAGATTCATGTAAAGAGTATGATATCATATGGAAAATATTTGTGAAAATTGTAGGTAGGATATTTTTTGCTAATTTCGTATTTAGACACTATGTTTTAACTTTTGAAAAAAAAAATTGTAATGTAGCATATTTTTAGACACACTTGCTCCAAAACAGATTGTTTCAATCGGTATTAAGGTCCATTATCAATATATATCATATATATGATATGTGTACAAATTCATTATGATCTAGTGGTCTAGCTTATACTCAAAGCTTTTAGTCAGACAGACAACTGTAGCTGTAGCCAAATGTACACACTAATACATCTGTAAAGAATATATACCAATTCAATGTATATCTGCACGGTGTGTATAATGCCATATACTTCTGCAGAAGTATTTTCTTTAGCACCAAGTCTCACAACTTCTTTGATCAAGCTATAATTTAGTATACACATTCTCCCTAATGACATCGATACACACTGAGGTATGGACTATAAATATTTCATTAGAGCTAAGTGTCGGCATACACATATACACATACCTAATCAAAGTCAATGATATACAGTAAAAGACATAGAGTGGGAATGTTACAACTTCCTGTAGCAATATATCAGCTGAATCATGTAAGTGTATAGATTCATTTTTTATAAAATGAAAATGTCCTGGTCATGAGCATTCAAAATTCTATATTACCAGCAGCAGTGACTTTGTTTTTCGACACTAGACTTTGTTTTTCGACACTAGACTTTGTTTTTCGACACTAGACTTTGTTTTTCGATACTAGACTTTGTTTTTCGACACTAGACATCTGAAAAACATTTGTTATAATTGTTGTTATATATGACCAGGGATTTTGGGAATGTCACCCTGCACTAAAATAAGGAAAATTTGCAAATGTTTTACTACCAATTGGAAAAATTGTATTTTAGTAAGAAGCCTTTTTTAAATTCTATTGACAAAATATCAAAACTCATTAAGAACATAAAATACATCTAATTGTAGTCAAAAATTTATTTTCATTTTCAGGAACAAATGACAACAAACAAATCCATCATTTCACAAAGTAAGATAGTTCAAACTATATGTGAAAGCAAATGCAGAAGATGCTTTTGACAAGAAAATCATATTTGAATTGAGCCATAAATGTGATAATTATATCATTCTTTAGACGAAATCTGTCAAAAACAATACAACTTCCCTAGAGTATGGAATTAACTGATTAAGAAGTTAAGAGCAAGTCTGATAAACTGAGGCAGAAAACTGTCCTAACTTATCCCCCAAGTTCTCTAGAAATGTTATTTTCCTCTTTCAACTAGATTAAATTTATCCTTTTATCATAGGGATATGTGAGCTAGTATTTGAGGGCCATAAAATTTATACAGAAGTACCTACAGACTCTTCTAAAGATAATGGAATATGTCATAATAAGTATTTAATCTTAATACATGTATAACTGTGTCTGAAAGAGACAATTTTTGAGAAATGAAGAATTCAGAAAAAAAATGCTATCTTGGCTCTGTCTCTCAAGTGCCTTGAAGGCCATTTAAAGTCAATATGTACATGTGAAATGAAAATAAAGATGTTTGTAAACACACACATCAATTTATGTAGCAAAATCATGTGTTTAGAGATTAAGTCTCCTGATTATGTTAATAATACATATACATGTATATCGTAAGGGAATGTGTTGAAATCATTGATAACTATCTGAAATTTTACATATCAGATTCACTATGTATGTACATAAATTTCCCTATAATATTTCCCATGGGTGATATGGTGGCCATCATCTGTCATGCCTGATACACATGTATGCTTTTTAAAGTTTACATCATATAGTGTTCTTTTTGTGAGAAAACGTACTGAATTGCAGTTTCCAGGCTGTTATATCATATAAATATATATATATATATATATTATATATATGTATGTAGTGCACTAGGTTACCTCTGTCAGATTTTTATAGCTATGTTTTATTTTGCAAGGTTTTTTTCACAGGACAAAATAATACTAAAAATAAATGGTATTGTAAGAGCATGTATTAGTGTTATTTCACTACATTGTAAATTATTATAGGTGGGCACCCTGCCATGACTATAAACCTGCCTGCCATAATAAACACTATATCATTCAGATATTCACACTTTTTCCCATGTACATGTATGATCTATCACCCTTGACACCAGACCTACATCAGACCTAGGTAATCATATTCATTGCGATATATGTGTAACATCGGTACATTGATATACAAATTGGCAGTCTCTTTTCAGAGCAGACATTTTTCCTTGCATGTGTTAGTTTCATTTATCATATTTTACAGATGTGCTTCAAATTCCTTCATAGTAATTCACCATTTCTTTTTTAACAGGCAAAGGGCCAATCAAATCATCAATCAATTTTGAGTAAGTTTTGCTTGAGAAACAGATAACTGCTTTAAGCTGTCAGGTTTTCCTAATAGGTCAGAATATGTTAAAATCATATTCTACAAAAGGTAAATATAGTATACACTTCTAGTTGCACAATTTCATATGGCGAACATTTTTGTTACAGCAAAATCTCATAACAAAGTTATAGCTCCTGTAAATCAATATCAAGCAATATAAATAAGGAAGGAAACTAAGTAATATGAAATATGGGAGATGAGGCCATCATGCAGTGAAACAAAATTTGAGCTAAAAACAATGACGGTTTTGCTGCCACATGTATGCAAATAAAACACCCTGTAATGGTCTATCAGACCATCCCACCATCAATTGTAATGGTATCATATCAAAACATCCAGCAGCGAATTTTTGGGACTCTGATATTATATTTTTTTTATCAGACATACTCATATTTTGAGAACCCATTATCTCTCTTTGTAATCATAGGTGACACAGGTATATTAGAATATCCTACCATGTATCAACATATCAGAACATCCTAACAAGTGTGTCAGCCAATTAGAATATCCTACCCTTTTCAGCCTATCAGAACATCCTAACAAGTGTGTCAGCCAATTAGAATATTCTACCATGTATCAACATATCAGAACATCCTAACAAGTGTGTCAGCCAATTAGAGTATCCTACCCTTTCCAGCCTATCAGAACATCCTAACAAGTGTGTCAGCCAATTAGAATATCCTACCCTTTTCAGCCTATCAGAAAATCCTAACCAGTGTGTCGGCCAATTAGAATATCCTACCAAGTAATCAGCCAATAGAACATCCTATACAATGTATCAGCCTATCAGAATATCTTACCCAGTGTATCAAACAATCAAAACATCCTACCCTGTATTGGTATATCAAAACATCCTACCCTGTTTCAGTATATAAAAAGCATCCTATCCAGTGTGTAAGCCAATTAGAATATCCTACCAAGTAATCAGCCAATCAGATTATCCTATCCAGTGTTTCAACCAATAATAACATGCTTCCATGTATCAGTCTATCAGAATATCCTTTCCAGTGCATCAGCCTATCAGAACATCCTACCCTGTGTCAGCCTAGCAGAGTATCCTTTATCAGTTCAAATGTATCAGAATGCTGTACCCTGTATCTGCCTTTTTATTCATCCAAGTCATTAAAAATATTGATCCTACATTTGTGTATACATGCATGCAGTGATGCACTCTGCTGTGATTCAGTGATAGATGTCATGCTGATAACTGTCAGTCAAAATGTATAACATCTGGTATTGGGGGCTAAGTATACTCAGATCAGCAAAAAAAAAACACAAAATTTTACTGGACTGCCAAATGAGCTTTGTATTGACAGCTTTAAATTTACAAGCCCCCTGAAAATTGTCTAGGTAGGTGTACTATGCAGATTTGCTTACATTGGTACCCATTTATCATAAACTGTAACTGCAATACATATATGACTATGTCAATAACAGTTTTGTATCAACAGTTTTCTTCCGTCATTATATCATTCATGTAACTCATCACTGCACATTGGACAGTTTCGTATTTTTAAGTAAACACACCTTTTTAATCAAAATCTAAATGCACAAAATAAGCAAAACTGCATAATGGTGAATCGGCATTGTTCAAAATCTTAGTTTGTAAGTTAAAGCTAAACGGTTCTTAAATGTGATCTATAAATGAATGACACACCATCTGCTGACTATGCTACAAGCCACGTAGAACGTAAACAATCTGGACCAATTTCGTCCTTGACGTTTTTTTAACGATTTCCGGGATTGCAACGCATATCGAACTCATAAAGGAAACCTACCTTCTGATCTTGGCGAAGAAAAAGCAGAGTCTTCTTTAGAAGGTGATGACATTCTCACTGTATATCAGAATCGACTGTGAACGGCAAATGATAAATCCGGAAATGGCTTCGGGAAGATTGTTTTTCTCCGAGAATGGCGGAAGATGACGTCATTTCCACCATAATCTCAAAAAGAAATTACCATTTTATTACATAATTTACACAGAATTTTTTAAAATGAAGTTTGTATTTCATTATACGTAATATCATTTTAAAAAATCATTTGACATTGATTACTCTTTCATAGTGTCCGTTTGTGAATTTATCATTACTTTGATGGCTTGTTCACTCTTGGTCTCGTGAACGTTTTACCGGTAGTCACAGCTCGCAGATCAACAAAGCTCCATTCTAACAAAGTACAGTTGCTCGTTCTCATTTCAACGTCATGGCGTTAAACAGAAAGGGAAATGTGAGTGTAGTTTCGGTTATTTTCCGTTTAAATTCTTCAGTCGATTTTCAGATCATTTGTTTGAAGTACCTATTATCTTGAGAGGCATACAGTTGGCATGTACGCTTTGTCAAAAGTTAAAACAAAAACTGTTTTGTCTCAATTGTCTGCCTGTTCATATTTAATTGTGATCATACATTGTGGGGGATGAAAATCACCATGCCATTCTTCAACAATAGTATCCCTTCTGGGATTCCTCCTTGGGATTTATCGGACGTTTTATGATATCCCCCGCTATCAGACTCTATTATTATTTCTTTTATTTCCTCCAAGTGTGAAGAACATATATACATTGATATTGTAGAACATAATTGTGCGTTTGTACATACAAATACACATAAGAAGCATTTAAATTAATGCAATGTAAATAATAAACAGTGAATTTATGTACGCATAATATATATATACAACAACTCCTAAAGTTAAGAAAATAAAATTATTTAAGGTAATCTTTACAGTTAAATCCAATACATATTACAATCATATAATTTAAGACGTGAATATTTCACTTTGAAGTCAAAATGACCCAACATTATAATTAAATAGCATGGTAATGTTGTATGATTCTGATGATGAAAGCTATTGAATTTAATCTAAAATCCTCTTGTTCAAATGGGGACATATTGTAGTTGACAATACCCCTGAGAAGAACATGTATTAATTGATAGTTAGACAATTCATTTAAGGTAAACTACAAAATCTATGTCTTTCACTGTGCTGAGAAAGCACCAGAGCTGGTTTCATAAACTTTCTGTGTGAGAGCATTCAAGCATGCTGGCAATCAAGTTAGGTTGACCTATCTCTTTTTGCACTATGCCAGCCAAGACATTTTTTTCTTTTCAGAAATGCAACAGTTATGGGTTATTAGAAACAAATTTGCTTTTCTAATCAAAACCTTTTTCATGGTGTTTGAAACTTCAGAAAAAAGGTGTATGGTCTACAAGTAATACATTTATAAAGTTACCTGTGAAACATTTCCTACTTGAGTATATCTTAAATCATTACCACTTATATAGTCATTCATTATGTTATGTTACACTTATTTTTTCATTTTCAATATTGAAAATTACTTTAAAGTTGTACATAATTAATCTGATTGGTATTAAAATCTATTTATAGTTACATGTAACTTATTGAACAACGTTCATTGTTTTAGGTTCGCTTGCCTCCAGAGGTCAATAGGATCCTTTATGTGAGAAATTTACCATACAAGATAACCGCAGAAGAAATGTATGATATTTTTGGTAAATATGGAGCCATTCGTCAGATCAGGGTGTAAGTATGATTTAACAAATAAAGATATTTTATAGGTACAGGATAGTAATTTCATGCTAAAAATATCATAAAAATTAACAAAAACTGCATTAACAGTAATCACATATTTCTGAGAATTGATCTTAATCTAAATATCTTAGCTTAATCACAAAGTTATGTTTTCCTGAACAGTAGATTGATTTTAATATATTTGGAAATTTTAATTTTGTTTTATTGACTTTCCGTAAGATACATGATTTATATATGCTCTGTTAGTAAAGAGCATGTACATGTATGTGGGATGGAACAAAGTGAGTTAAAATATAGTTGATTGGTATTGTTATCACATGATTTGTTATTTGGGCGAATAAAGAATAAAATGAGAAAGTAGGAATCTATTTGTTTCTGTTCGTTTACTGGTATTTCAAGTACAATGGAGTAGCCCGTACTTCGTTCAACAGTTATTGACCTTAAGAAAGTGATACATTGACCAGATTTGGCACTTTGAGTCAAAATTCAGATAAGCTGAAATATTTTTCATGGTCCCTTGAATTTCGAGATAACAAGTTTTGACTGTACCTGATTTGCTTTTTAAGCTATAATTATGTAAACATCATAATTTATGATTTAATCCTAATATGTAATTTTACACTTCCTTGCAGAGGGAATACCCCTGAATCAAAAGGAACAGCATTTGTTGTCTATGAAGATATTTTTGATGCCAAGAATGCTTGTGATCATCTCTCTGGGTTCAACGTGTGTAATCGATACCTAGTTGTGCTGTATTACCAATCTAATAAGGTAAACCTCCCAGTCTTCAGTGGATACTCAAAACAGGCATGAATAACTCTAGATCCCATCTTCGTCTCTGTGACTCTTCCTAGTGCCAGATGTTGTATTACAGATGAACGTCAGTGTTCTGGCGTTATGTCCTGCAACAGAGACATACAAAACTTCTTTTCTTTTTTTTTCCTAAAGAGGAGATCACTCAAATTGACTTTGACATCCTGGTCTTAGTCCAATCAACCTTGATCCACTGAGGTCTCTTTCTCTCTTCAGGTCATGATTGATTTACTTCCTGACTTTAACAGAATTTGCCTCCCAGTTACAGTTTTCAAGTTATTTCATGTAGTGATACAGTTGTTTTGAATTACTTTGATTATGATTATGCATCCCAATGATATTTATGTAGGATTTTGATCTTGGTAGTCATTAAATTGCTAAACAAAAACTTAACTTTGCATTGTTAACTTTGATATTATCTGATATGTATTATTAATCATTTATTAGAAAATCTTTCTACACAGTTTGTCAGTCTTCAGCAAAATCAATTATTCTAATAACAAGTCTTAAAGGTTAATTGTAAATGAAAGTTGTTGATCTTTCCTGATCAGGCATTTAACTGGTGTTGATACTAAAATTATGTGTTAGAGTGTGTTGAAGTTACATTTTCAAGTAGCATTGTTTTCATTTTATGACTGTTTAATTATTTATCATGTGTTTTTACTGTATTAATACTGCTACACATGGGCTATAAAATGTCATTGTTTTTTCTTTCAGGCATTCAAGAAATTAGATGATACAAAGAAGAAAGAAGACAATGACAGAATGAAACAGAAATATGGACTAAGTACCCCTGATATTAATAAAAAGTGAATTACGATCCACAACATTTTTGTCACATTTCACTGGAGTCCTGCTATTTTCATATACATTGTTTTATTGTTTGAGCAGAAAAGACAACATGTATTGATCTGTTTCTGGACATAATTATGAATTAGTTTAGAAAACTTTGATACGATTCCACAGCAAATTGTGGCATTATGGGAAAATAATTGTTTATAATATAACATGATAAAACATGTTAAACCTTGGAAAGAAATTCTTTTAGTGATTGCAGTAACTCAAATTCATTTTATTAACTATTCACAACTGTTAAGTCTCAGATTAGCTCAATGATAAGCCAAATGAGGTTCATATTTTAAAAAAACTTATCTGGCTATTGTGTATGCCTGGGCTGTCAGTTAGTGAATAGATTGTTGACCAGGACTTGTCAGACAAATTTAAGATTGCTGTGGTGAAAGAATGTTGTGATGCCGAGTAGGAGTGGAAGGAGAGTGTATGCTATATTGTGTATGGTAGAAAATGAATACATATTTTATATTTGTTCTGTCTAATATCAGTCTGGTTGTTATTTCCCTTTGTTCAATCATAGCAAGTACAGTGATTAAGAAAATTCCGATTTCATTGATACTGTAGTCAATTATCCTCCTCCTCTATCTCTAAACATTTTTTTTTCATTCATATCAGGTACACTAATTTTAATTGCACTAGTCAATTAATCTAAATTTTTCCAGAAACTATTGAGTACAGTGTATAACCAAAAAGAAGTTTAGAATTTTCATAATACATTTTGGGGTTAGTTGGATTGGGAGCAGTTGTAATTGACTACAGTATTTCTTGTGTAGATTGATCCATTTCAAGTGATCAATCTCAAAAACTTTTAATAATTTTCAAATTTGATCTTTGAATGCATTTTAAAAGAAAAAAAAAGAAAAATCATGAATACTGAAAATAGGACATATATTTTAAAGCTGGATAAATAGATACTGAAAAACTACAGATTAAATGATTACCACTCTGCTTTACATGATGTACAGGAAATTGTGGTATAAAATCCAAATATTAGAGTCTGTGTCCATTTACTTGTAATAAATGCACACTTATATTGTGCTTATGATACTTATTATAAGGTATGGAATTTGTGCTTTGTTCCTTATTGTTCAATGACAAACCTTAATTGGAAATGTTTTCGTCAGAATCACAGCTGACACATTTCGTAATATTTCATCATCTGATTTCTTTTTTGGAAGAAGCACAACCAGCTCAGTGTGTATATTTTCTCAGGAGTTTTCTTTGTGCACAAACTGGTACAAAAAATACATTTAATATCACTTTGTAAAATACTTTTATAGCAACATTAAACTTTTGAAGATTATTTCAAATATTGTTTGCGTATTTTATGATCTGGTTTTAATGAAATACTTGGGGCCATGCTATATAAACATCTATGTAACAGAGACCATAATTTATATCAATACCTCTGCTGGGGATCAAACCTCTTGCCTACTAGTCTTCACTCTCCAGACAAATGATATATTACAGGCTAGTTCATAACTTACAGCTTCAAACTCAAGTGAATAGTATAGTTTGGCAATGCTTTCCTGTTATATAGTGTTATATAGCGTTAAACAGCAAAATTCCATGATCTTTTGGTTCTGCTCCGAAAATACCAAGAAACATGGATCCTAGAAAAAAAACTAGTTTATCTTCCAAATAGCAGAGATGTATACATGGAAAGTTGTCTTTACCTAGATTTTCAAGAAGAGATGGAATTGAATTTCAACTGAAATATCCTTGGAGCTGAAAACAACTGAACATGACAGTTTCTAATAATGCTTTGTGAAAACCTTAAAGTTGCCAATTAATCAGGTAAGGAACTTGATAGTGAAATACATATGCAATGGTGTGAATAGAAAATAAATCTGTTGAGAGGTTGATGAGGTATCATATACACAAGTATTTTAGCCCTCCATCATCTGATCTTGTAGGTAGTGGGCTGCTCAAATTTCCCGTCATCAATTGCCACTCTGTCCAAGTTAATGCTATTTCTTGAAAAATCATACGTGAAGACTTCTTAATCAAATTTCATGTAAACTTTCCACTGTTCCTTGTTATTTTGGAGAGATGGGAAAGAAAAAAATGGCCGACACTGGGGGCCATATTTGATTTTAATAGTTGAAAGTTTGTTAATGTGGTTTCTCGGAATGTTTTGGATTGAAATTTCTCCATTTTTGCTTCTTTGTAGATTTCCCCTGGTCCCTAGTTGTTCATGTTCATTTTTTGGACTAGTTAGAAGCAAATGACCATATTCATATTGGAGTTTGAAAGTTTACTTCATATGTGACTTTCCTTCAGTTCCTGGTTGTGCATTATTTATTTTTGAAAGGCAAAATGGTAGACATATTAGATTTTGTTTGTTTGTGATCACTATCTAAGTCCTGCATCACAAGACTTTAGCATAACATAATGGCTGATACCTGGGCATCTTGTAAATAGTTTCACTATACCTTAAGAGAAGTTCTGGATGGATCATTTACATATTTGTTGTGTAGGTTCCACTTGGTTACTTATGTGTCCAAAACAAGATTCCGTTTAGATTTCTTGTCTTTAGACCACCATATATGATGGTTGGCTGTTTAAATCACCCTTCGACAATTTAATCTTTAACAAAGTTATGTCTATTTCTTAAGGACTTGATGGATTTTTATCAATTGCCATATGTATCGGCTCTTCTCAGCATCCTGTTTTGCATTTTCAGGTCTACTGACTATAGGTCATAAGATGCATTGCAATTATTGTCGTCAGTCGTGTGTTATCTTTTCCTTGTGAAAACTTGAGTAAATGTGAACCCATTTTGATAAAACATGGTTGAAGCCTCATATTAATAATATTTGGACAAGTTCGATAATACCATATCCTTGCGAGCATGATAATCTGAGTAAATATGAACAGATTTTAATGAAATTTTGTATGCAGCCTTGTATCAATAAGATCTTGGATGAGTTTGACAATACATTCATTAGAAATTAGTCTGGTGACTTTGAGCCCATGGGCCTAGTGTTCAATTGGGGATGAATTGGGAAACAAAATGGCCGACATGTGGCCATCTTAGATTTTGACATTTACAGTTACTATTGCACTTTCTTAAAAAGTTTTAGATGAATCATTCTCAAGATGGATCTCCTTTTTGACAGGAATTAATTAAAAACAAGTTCTAATGAAAGACTAAAAGGGACATTCCTCCTATGAAACTAAGTAAAAATAAAACTAGGGAGACAAAAATTAAGCTTTTAACATTAATACAGCAGTCAAAGTCTTAAAAAAAACACAAAGTTATTGGAGTATAAAACATTTGAAATTCTTAATTCTGCCCACATTATAAAGATACTTAGGTGATACACGATACCTGTATTTGTAGTACATTTCCATGCTTACACGATACCTATATTTGTAGTACATTTCCATGCTTACATCATTACTGATAGGCAAGGTGATCCTATTCTACAAATAAACTTAGTTAATATATGCTCACTGTGAGCATGTCTGCTATTCAAATGTTGGAATGTCCTTTTAACTTGATAAAACAAATGAAATGATGAACAAGAGGCTTAAGTGCCTTAACAATCACCTGATTCCAAAGACTCACCAGGGAGAAGGGTTATTTTTTCTACTTTAAATGAAATCTTACTGAGAAGCTGTTTTCCATTATGCAGAGAGAAGTTTTGATGAGGAGTAGGAAACTTTAACAAGTGTTACCTATTTTTTGGCAGTAAAGTTGGAGCTTAATCCCATTGGACGAACTAGAGAAGAAGTTTGAAGTGTCAAAAGTTTACGCATGGCGTACGGCACACACTGACGGACAAAGCACAATGGCTATAGGTGACCATGACCCTTTGGGTCAGATGGCCTAAACATATAACAACAAGCAAATCTTATACATATTTATTATGGCATTTATATAATATTATAAGTAGTACAAGAGCTATCACGAAATGTGCAAGTTTCAGCTGTCTTTCTTTGCTTCTGTTGATGGTTTTGTCTCTGGCGCCGATTTCTAAAAAGGAACAAAAAACTCATGAACATTAAAATCAGTTGAGTGCTATTTAAGCAGTTCCAAAGACAACGGGATAAAGAACAAAAAAAAAATAGGAGATTGCAAAAAGAATTTGAAATATGTTTTCTTTCCACACATCACCTATGACTGAAACAGATAAAACAACTTGCCTTTTCTGTGGTAAATGATAGATCTTCAACACTTTTTTCTGTAAAATACAAAAGAAGTGAGGATAAGAATGTTTTTAATCTTTTAATCATTCATACATAGATTAATTATTAATCATACATGTATATTTTGTGTAAACTATGACAAACCATCACTCTTTCATTGTGGTATCAATTTGAACATTTGCACCTCCCTGCACTTGCACAATTTAAGTCAGGTGATTCCTGACCTGTTATAATTACTGTATTTTCTGAGGGGTTTGAAACTACACATCTACTATAATTGTTCAAAGTATCATCTCAATCTCAAGAATGTTTTAATATTAATTATCTTGGTCATGTCTATAATACAGTGTTTAATGATATTCAAGTGAGAAACTTTATTAACTTACTAATTTTATCGAAAATCTCTCCAGCCTTATTCTGCGGCTCCCAGTAGTAGATATATCCACCCAGTGCTGCTCCACTGATCGCCAGCAATGCTTTTGTGATTTTCCCTCCTATGTAGAAAGACACACTTTACAATTTCTTAAGGATCAGTCTGTATATTTAATTCAGTTTTAATTTACCCATGTAACTGTCACAATGTTGAGACAGTATTTTTTTTTTCATTCTTTGTCAAACATTTAACATATTTTAAAGAATTTAATTTTTTTTTTACCCCACAAAGTATAAAAAAAACTGTTTGTTTTGGTACAGTATAGTATGACACAAACTTAATGAGCAAATAAATGGCTGCATAAGGATGATAACACGCTGGGGTATCTACCTCTGATACCAAGAAGCAATCCACCGGCAGCACCACCTACGATGGACGCAGGGCCGTAAGGGTCATCCTCAATCATCTGGACAGATGCTGAAGAAACAAAGATGTAATTCTAAATATATCACTGACAATCAATCTAACTAAATAAGACTTGTGATTTCTGCTTCTATCTGATATGCTGCAGTACAAGATCTTGTATTGAAGGATATTGCAGAGGAGCAGATGTTACAAGTCTAATATTAAAATGAAGGTAGAGATGAATGGACAACATCCGTTGGAAGATATCAGTAAATTTTGTTAGCTGACATGTTTTGGCATACTAGGTATGTGTGTACACCTTTATCTGATCATTCCTCTTTAAGTTTCAATGATTCTCTTGTCTGAGCATAGTTCTTAAGCACAATATTCTCATTTTTTTCATCAATGTCATTGTAAAAATTGTTATTATTTTGCCTATACATCATCAAACAAGTTAGAATTATCCCTTTGTTTACATGTCCATTTTGTCTTGTTGCTTGTGAGTAATACTAAGAATGAATAATTTTTTAATTATGAGACAAGTGTAAGAAGTACATAAATTCAAATGAGAACAGAAGTAAAATAATTGTATTGAAAATCCAAGTTCTGTCCTTCAGAAAGACCAATCTGGAGGTAATGCTGAGCCATAACAAGGAATCCTAGACTGATCCTAGCAATGTCCATCAGATAGTTACATTGTCTTATGCCCCCACCTACCCGCCCCCCCAACCTCCCCCCCCCAAAAAAATAAAAAAAATTCTCCTTCTTTTATTAAGACTGTTTCATTGATAGTATTATCAATAGTGTATGAACCATGAGTCAAATCTGACTGATCACTGGAGAATCCCATCAAACACCTAAATTCATCAATTTACTTCAAAATATCCACAAGGGATAAAAAAAAAAAAAATTAATTCCAACCTAGATCAACCCTAATAGATAGATGAGAAGGATAAATAATTACTCATTGTGTGAGCATATCCTGTCTGTCCAATTTCTTTCGCGCGTTCGCTCCCAGCCTGTATACAATAGAAGCAAATTATTAGCAGATATATTGAATACAATTATATATAAATGTCACCTGTTTGGAATTTCTATATGAGAGATTGAATTTGTTCAAAACTTCAAGCCTCATTGCATCAATTCAGTCCTATCTTTAAAAAACTCATACCTAAAACCAGGATATTTAAAGCTGCTCTTTCTAATGAGCCGATCAAACGCTGTGATTGTACTTGTGAACAATTCAGAAGATCGCCAGGCATTTTTTGTCGTAAATAGGATAAAAATTCTTGAAACTTTGTCCTGAACTGGAAAGGTAGTCAAGCACTGTGCTTATCCCTTAAAAAGTAGATGGGGCATCATATTACATTGAAAAGAAAAATATATTGGTGATTCTATTGTTGTATAAAATGGTATTACTACCGATGAAGGGAAGGTGTGAACGACACACTTACTATAGTATTGAACAAAGTATTGATACTATTGTATTGAAGTATTCAAATAATCGAGTCAAGTATACAACGACCTCTGTGATTGGTCGGGGGCGGAGTTTAGACAACCTGAATAGTTGATCTGACACCCAATTTGTTCCGGTAGGCGGAGTTAATGTACACTACCAGTTACATAACAATTACTAAGTAATCGCTGGAAAAATGTCCGACGACGGCAACAGTACGCAAAATTTTCTTTGACGAAATTATGTCCGATACGAACGATATAGGGAATCCTGTTTTTGTACAAGGCGATGTGGTTGTGATGGATAATTGTGGATTCCATCACCATAGACAGGGAGAGCGCATTTTAAGAAATATGCTGAAAGAATATGGCGTGTCCCTGGTTTTTCAGCCGCCTCATTCCCCGGAATACAACGTAACTGAATATGTATTCAATGTCATGAGACAGAGGCTTCGGGCAAATACCCGACTTGTGTCAGAATTTCTGGAACTTGCAGTAGTAAATGCTCTAGATATTCCGCCCAACCAACTTCAAAGTTTTTTCACAAGTTGCGGATATGTATAATTTTCGATGGAAAGATAAAAAATAAAATAAAAAATATATGGGACCACAGAATTCCTTTATTTTTTAATGCAGTATGAATTATCGGCATATATCAGGAGGTCCCAGGTAATTCGTAATTCTTTGTTACATATAATAGAGCTTGGGCTTAAACCGAAATATTTTGAGCCAACCCTCCCCCCCCCCCCCCCCCCCCTTTCAAAAAAATAAAAAATAAAACTAGTACAGAATGACTATATGACTATATTCACTGTTAAGATGTTATGAATTCTCCGGTCCCAGTGATCTAACCTGTTGATATATATTTTGTACGTAAATTAGTTTAGTACTGAGTAACTTTCGTTTTCTCGTTGTACCATCGATGGAAAAGCAAGGTATAATTGGGTGTAGAACGAAACAAATGGGACAACCCAATTAGGTCTGATCTGAAGCCACCTGTGACTTGGACTCTTCCAATTAACCTCTCACGACAGTCGAGTGTTTGTAAAATGCCGATGTCTGCACAGTATTTTTTCACCTGGCTCCACCCACAATCGATCTAGACTTGGCTCTGCCAATCAGAGAGCTTGTTGCATAAATTTAAGGAATTCGATTGGTGAAGTACTTCAGTACAATACTATCAATACTTTGTTCAGTACTACAGTACTTGAAACGTTCACACCTTCCCTTCATCGGTAGTAAGAGCTTCAGAGTGTCATCAGTATATGAAACATATGACACTATGTAGACCATGTACACTATGGATAAAATGGAAACTAAAAGCTGTGTTCATTAGACAGATGATGAATTCATGAAATCTTAGAAAATATATTCAGTACTGATTTTGACCTGATAACACCACTAACCTTGACATATTTCATCCCTGGTAAAATGGCACGGGTTAAAGGGGACACCCATCCCCGTAGTGTTCTTGTGATTTCGCCAGCATGGTCCACCTCTTCATACTTCCTTGGTTCAGGATTATTGTATAATGGCAGCTGAAAAACAGCACTAGTTATAGTTCTACATCTCCAATAAAATTATACAAGAAAGACACTCAAATGAATTGCACTTTTCAATACAAACTTACAATAATATAGCAGTAAAAAAAATTAATTGAACTTCATACAACTATTGAACCTGTTCTTCATGTACATGGGACCTACAACAGCCTATATGCTATAGTATTTAATCTGTCCTACATGTACATGGGACCTACAACAGGTTATATGCTATAGTATTTAATCTGTCCTACATGTACATGGGACCTACAACAGGTTATATGCTATAGTATTTAGTCTGTCCTACATGTACATGGGACCTACGACAGGTTATATGCTATAGTATTTAATCTGTCCTACATGGGCATTGGACCTACAACAGGTTATATGCTATAGTATTTAATCTGTCCTACATGGACATTGGACCTACAACAGCCTAAATGCTATAGTATTTAATCTGTCCTACATGTACATGGGACCTACAACAGCCTATATGCTATAGTATTTAATCTGTCCTACATGTACATGGGACCTACAACAGCCTATATGCTATAGTATTTAATCTGTCCTACATTTACATGGGACCTACAACAGCATATATGCTATAGTATTTAATATGTCCTACATGTACATGGGACCTACAACAGCCTTTATGCTATAGTATTTAATCTGTCCTACATGTACATGGGACCTACAACAGTCTATATGCTATAGTATTTAATCTGTCCTACATGGGCATTGGACCTACAACAGGTTATATGCTATAGTATTTAATCTGTCCTACATGGGACCTGGGACCTACAACAGCCTATATGCTATAGTATTTAATCTGTCCTACATGAGACCTGGGACCTACAACAGCCTATATGCTATGTATTTAATCTGTCCTACACCAACATTGGACCTACAACAGCCTACATGCTATAGTATTTAATCTGTCCTACATGTACATGGGACCTACAACAGCCTATATGCTATAGTATTTAATCTGTCCTACATGGGAGCTGGGACCTACAACAGCCTATATGCTGTAGTATTTAATCTGTCCTACACCGACAAGGGACCTACAACAGGTTATATGCTATAGTTTTATATCTGTCTTAAATGGGACTTACAACAGGCTATAAACTCTATTTTTAATCCGTCATACATAGTCATGGGACGTTCAGTAGGCTACAATGTCTATGCTATTGTTTTGATCCATCCTTCATTCCTTATATTTTACATAAATTCATACGGCTTTGAAGTATGCACTCTTTTAGAACTTTCACGTGTCTTATCCTTTCTAACCTGAAAATTATAGACCACATGTACCAGTATTTCATACCAATCTCTCCCAACAATAATGTTGTTAACTAAAAATAGTGAACTTACCTGTGATATCTGAATGCCCTCTTTAGTTGACCCTGCTTCAACCTGCCAAGACAATGTGTTGTAATGTATAACATGTATATCTTTCTGACAGTGTCACTGATTTTTTCAAAAGGATCAACTGACAGGGATATAAAGCACTGTATGTTCTCTAGGGAAAATAAAACATCTTTCCTCGACACTCATGCCTACATGTTGAGACTTATTCCTATTTCCAAGGAGTTGTCATTCGTTTATTTCAGTACCTGATAGACAGATGAGCATATTGGACAATGCTGTTTACCAAGAAAACGACAATTAATATATGTATGCTGCTTAAGAAAATCTTTGAGGGAAACTGGCAAGAACACAAACTTTAGATTGAACATGGTGAACCTCTATCATGACAGTCTGAATTATTCTGATGTTCTGTTAAATTTTACATATCGGCTTGGAGTTTATCTATTCTAAGCTCATATAAAAAATGTTGATTGAACGTCAGAATAATTTGGACTACCTCATGAGTACCAAGTGTTGATTACATTGTTGTTTATTACACACTTTGTTGTGTAGTTTGTTGACTAAAAAGTGTGTGTGGTATTTTAGATAATGAATGGTCCAGGTGGTTTTTTAAAAGCGTGAAGAATTATTAACTCAATTAGATGTCACATTCCCCGTAGCAATGGTTAAATAGTGTTTACAAGAGGATGAAATTTATATGTCTGGTACACCTGAGGGAATGCTAATTTTGGATGATCCAGAAAATCAACAGGTAATATGTTGTGAGAGTTTTGGTCTATAATAGGCTGCTCTATAAAGCAACATTTCAATTTATTGTGTTACTTTATAACATTTGTAAGAACACCTGGCAAAATTAATCAAAATCCAATTGCAATCATTCCTATTGTAGGAGTAACAAGGATTTTAAATAATTAATTTGCTCTAATTTCCATATCGGGTTCCAGGTGTGGAGACCTAATGTTTACACAAAATTCCCTTTCACACAGCAATGCTTCAGAACAAATTTGGTCAAAATCGAATAATTCCTACAGGAGTGCTATATTTCCCCGTCTTTATTTATTCCCCTTTCTGGCTTCCCCTAAGTCTGCTTCTGCCTTTTGGTCAAAATCCTGCAAGCCGTATGTCATTAGTAGCGATTTTAGGGGGGACTTTGGGGACGGACAACGGACGCCGCGGTATGTCATAAGTCCACTTGGCCTTTTGGACCATGTGAGCTAATAGCATCTCTTTCAGAAATTAGTAAATTCACTGCTGGCGCTTATGCCACCCGAAGTAAATTACTTGTACTTTCAGTTCACTGGACCAAATATATAGTTATCTTTCAACAAACCACTTTCGCAATGCAATTAGTGCACGTCCTGATAGAGTTATTTCAAGTCAGTATGAATAAAAGTGATGTCAGAAGCATAAAAAGAAAATATTAAGAAATAATGAAAGTTAATCAGTCGGCTAGAGATCAAATGATGTCACCTTCGCCATCTTGCCGGTTCCGTCTTACTACTTACCAACAAGACACAACAAAGAAACTTTATAATGTCCGACAAGGACTTAAGGGACAGACAAGAAGAAATAACGACCAAAACAAAGAAAATACATCAAAGAACAAACGAGTAGAAGAAATGCACTTCATATTTATGATAAAACGTTTTATCAAACTTATATAGTAGAAATGATAATAATGGGATAAAATGTGGACACAGAAAACAACGTAATAACTATGTTTGGTTGATAAATTATACCAAGTTTTAGAAAGATTGATAACAACAGCAACAAAAAAGGAAAGAAATCATTGGACAAAATTAAATTGCTAATAGTCAGAGTAATAACTTATTGAAAGTTATACAGAATAATTTTTTTGAAGTTATCAAAATTTTTTTTTTTCTGTTTTTAATCTGGTAAGACTGAAGATTCATAGAGAAGTTTCAACAAAATATTAACACAACTTTCTTTGATAGAAGTTGAATTTTTATTGTGAAAATTCCTCTATATAACCTATATTGCAGAAATCGTTCACCTGGAGCGAATAATCCGCACAGGAACGACGCGGTATGTCATCAGAAACTGCCAACATGTTCACATAAAATGCTGATGAAACACAAAAGGACAGAAAATTCTTCAAACGTTATAAAGGGCAATTTACATTTCACATTTTGGTTGCAAATTCTGCCACGTTTAGGCAAGGCAGAGAAGATCTGCACACAAAACAAACATTATGAAGCAACAAGGGGAGTAACTCTTCTGAAAACCTTAAAATCAAAAATGTTTTTAGAATAAATCTACACAGATTGAAAGCGATTGGTTGAAAATGTGGGAGAGTCTTTTCGGAAAAAAATTAAAAACAGAAACTGTGAAGATTTTTATTGATAACTATTTACATTAGAAATTATTTCTATGAGTAGAAGTCGTTGTGTGTTGTGAATAATTCCAGTTGTTTGTATCCGCGAGTGATATGAGATAATTTCTACCATCTCCAGACCATCGACGAAAGGCCAACCTGTAGCAATAACAATGGGTCATTTACACAACAAAACACACACTCAAAGAACTAAATAATTACAAAGGTTCAACCCTTAATGTACAAACCATAGAAGTAATGGTTATTAGTACAGTGTTAAAATTAAAATATGCATTATAAAATACGCCGATAAATCTTTTTTTTTCAAATACAAGTCTGAAGGAATAAACCAGTTTGATGTAAGTGACCAATGAATACATTGATAGGATCAAATAAGTTTTATAATAAATGCATGTGTTATATAAGTATGATTTGTGCACTAAGAGGGCGATTTCCTCTCTCCATATATCTCTGACCGGGAGATGTTTACCAACCGTTGGTTGAAGTGCATAAAGTTGTAAGTCACTCACTAGGATAATGGAGATAAAGTAATAAATTTGTTAAAAAAAAAAAAAAAAAAAACAACGAAGATCACGCAACAGTGGATACCGAGTTCTTACTAATAAAATGGAGCTGTTAAAAAAAACCTTTCTCGCTAAAAACACGAAGCAAATATTTAAATGAATATCGATCTTGACTACTAGTTTATTCAGTTAAGTTTTAAAAACTTAATCCCGAAGGGGAGATGTTTTAAATAATTCATCAAGAATGTTTAGTGGGGAGTAACCTCCAAGGACAAAAATATACGAAGTAATCTAGGTAAATTTTTTCCTATCATGTAAATGAGTCACGGTCTCGCGGGCAAAACATATATTTTTCTACCTATAAAAATGCAAAACAAAACTTTTAATGCTATCCTCTAGAATTTCAAGATTGATACCATATTTGGTCAATGGCCAGGAAGGCCATTTGTTTTAGCATGGAAAAAGAACATTGATAATAAGAAAGCATTGGTAGAGAAGGACGGCCTTTGGTTTACATTATAGAAGCAAGCACTCACCACATTCTAAGCAAATGTCTAGAATTAAATAAAAAATCTTAAATTAATAAAAAAAAAATGTTATTGTAGATAATAGATTCCAGATTTGTCGACATTTCAACAAAAAGGAAATGTTTGGGTTGTGGTAAAACATTCTGAGTTTTGGATAAGGGACGTGATATGGGTTTACTTCGTTCATACTCAAAGGCGTGTTAAATGAATAATAATCAATGGTTGTTGAAAACCAAGCAAAGCCAAACGTACACTGTATACAGATTCAAATGGATGCTGCCATTTCATAAAGAAAAAAATACTTGAAATATCAAATTAAAAAATACAGACATCAAATAGTGTAAAAGTAAAGAATAGGACAGGTACAGATATTTACGACCATGCTTAGAAATAACATTGTACAGGCGTTTTTGAAACAAAAAATGTAGTACAGATTGACAAAAAGTACTACTGCTTCAATATTCCAGTTTATCGCGTGTAAATAAAAAGAGACTACCTTGCCGTGCAGCATTTGTACAAGTTTAGAACATTTTGGAATGTGTCCTTGCCAATGAAAATACTTTAAAGAATTGTAATAGAAAACAGTATCAATCATACATAAATCATTATGATGCTGACGATGGGATTAATTGAATTACCTTTGCACCAACCAATTCTGAAGAATTTTCTAGAAGGCGCCAGATTAATTATTTCCAATGGTGTGCAAATAAGGAAGAAATCCGATTTAACATTTTTTTTATTTAAACTAGACTTTCTATCATAATGGAATTTGGGATTAATTCATGTTGAACAGGACAAATAACGAAATACAACACTAGTTCAAAAAATTTAACCATCGGTGTGTTATTTCTGCAGGGGTTCTGTTCCTTGTTCACAAACATTGTGTAGATTCATATTCTTATTGTATGATTCTTCCTCATTTATTTCAGTTCCAGTTCTCTTTGTTCACAGATGAAGTATTTCTTCCCGATACAATTGTCATCACTCACGAGCAACAGCGCCATTGCAAAACGGGCACAGTCGGCCGGTGGTTTTGAACCAAACTCCATATCCAGATCGTTGAAAACAAATGGTCTCGCTGACATTCCCTCAACAATGGTGCCATCCAACCAAACCCACTTGCCTTCGGATGCTATGTCAGTTGCTCCGATCCAAAAGTTTTCATAAGTGTCCAAATCTGCAAGCGTGGTAAAGAATGAATGAAGGTATAAATAGCAACATGAAGCAGAAATGTATTATCAAAACACAAATGTCATTAAATATTTTCTTTCTCTAGGGTTTTACATCCTTGCATTAACCAAGATTGAATAAAATCGTGCCTCTAGTGAGATAACTTTTTTTTTTTAAAATCCCATAAAGATAAATCGTGTAGATCGGAAATAAAGGAAAGGAAAAGAGAGATCCTACGCGATCGGCGCACCATAATTCCTCTCTTCCCCGGGGGTAAATTTTAAGGTGATTCCCTACTAAATTGGTAAAATAATACGTCGAAAACATGTTTGATTTAGCGAGTAATATGTCGTTGAACAATACATTCAGAGCTGAATGTTAAGCAGCCTTTCAAAACCATAGCGTTTCCGGAAAAATGGAAGTATCGAGTGAATTATATCATAGTGCCGCTTGGATAAATCAGTAAAACACCACTTATTGAAAACATACTGTTAACACAGACAGTCAAGAAAGCATCCCGTTCAAATTCAACCGATTTTAGGATGGCGTAATGTCCGGTTTTATCTCCGTTTTTAGTTTGCCTAAGACGAGTTAAACATTTTGGCAAGGAAATGGGTTATCTAAGACATAAATGTAAAGGCCTAGGTGAAATCATTGGTATCCAATTAACAATGGACCATTTAGTGCCAAACAAGAGGACAAAGTGTTCAAACAGAAAGAAACATGTCCAACTCAAACGGAAAATGTTAAAACAAAACTCTTAAAAATGATTTCTTCGAATGTAGCCCGGTGCACGGTGTAGTTTTCAGGAAAAATCTACATTGATGTGAAGACTAAAAGAGTTTTGTTGTTTGTGCATACAGAGGGCATGATGGATTTTGGCAAGATACGGGAAAGTAGTATCTTTTTCAGTGGTGTAATTTGGTAGTAGAGGTCGGTGTACCATGTCACACCAGTCTTGGATGTTCCACGAAGCTCAAGAGTACCGTGTCAAGTATTATATTAAAACAAAAAACAAAAACAAAAAACTGTTACACATATTACTTTCAAATTCAAACATCTTTAGAACTCTCCTTTTAAACTATTTCCAGTAATTGTTACCTTTAGTGTCTATTCAATCTTGTTGTAAATCTGTATTTTGGTATTCAAAGGTCTATATTATGTATAATAGCTACAAAATAAATCCATATGCAAAATATGTACTAATGTACTATAAAGTCTTACATATACGGGAGATGTCCATTGCGCCTTCCATCCTCTCCCGAGTATCTAGCTTTACTAATACACCTCCAGTGTCCTCACAAAACTGGCGGGCGTCGTCCCACATTGTAAGTTCTGTTACAATCTTCAGGCATTGGCCAGTTCTCCAATTCGAAATGTAGCCGGCGCTGTCACATCCTCGAAAAGCAAGAAAACAAAATCAAATTGCTTAACAATGGTTCAGTAATTTCAAACAAGCAGGAAGCTCTTATTCTTCCGTAATACTTGTGTTATTCTCCTTGTTTTTTTTGTCCTAGTCCAGTTGAATTCGATTTCAGGTTATGATTCCGATGACGTGTTGCTATGTTTACAAAGAACTCGATTATGTATTTTCACTTTTGCAAGTTATAGTAAGTTTTGCTTCCCATCAACCTGTTAACGTCCTCGTAGCAGGCAACGTCACATGATTCAGGGTGTCATGTGGGCCAACCAGAGTAGATAAATAAAGCAATGACCGAAAGAACAAACAGGAAGAATAAATCTACAGAAATTCAACAATTATCTATTTGCCTTTCTGGTTTAGACTCAAGAAGGAAAGTCGAGTTTTGTGATATTAGGAAAGCGTTCGATTGCATTAAGCATATCGACCTGCTTCTTACAATTTGATTAGTAAACTGGCTTGAAGTTATATATTTACTAGGAACCAGCTGTTTTCTTCCCTTAGACATGT